AAATAATTAATTCTAATTAAGGATGATAAATTGGATTGGGACATTTTTTCACTCTTACTTTCAATAAATTTTTATTAATATATAAGAAATATTCAAAATATTATTTATAAAAAAATATTATAAATATAATAATTTTTTTTATTTACAATTATATTGTAAATTCATTAAATACATTTATCATCTCACATTTTGAAATTACAAAATATTTAAATTTAAGATAAGTTAAATTCTTTTTAAATTTAAACTAAATTTTTTGCACTATAAAAAAATCTTACATTTTAATAAATATTTTATTAATAAACAATAATATATTTTTGAACTAACTTTATTAGACGAGAGGGAATGAGGGGAAAGAAAATGGAAGCGGGAATGGGTGTGACGAGCAGATAGGGCAAAAGTTTATAGAGAAAAATAAAAAGTGAAAACAAATAAATAAAAAATAAAGTTAAGATTTTATTGTTTTTTTTTTGGTGTTGAGATTTTATTGTTTAATTAAAGAAAATATGTAAAAAATAATATATATATATATATATATATATATATAAAAGATGAGAGAAATAAATAAATAAATAAATGAGACACACAATATTTTAATTTTTCTTCTCTCTATTTCTCTTCAATCAAATAACTTTTCTCATTTATACTCTTTCTACCTTATTTTTCACTCATTTTTTATCTACCAAACAAGTCATACAAGTTGTTAACGTTCACATTTTAAAAAATGCATTTCACGAAAGCTACATTTCAATAATATATTCCTCAAATACGAATCAATTTCACATACGGAGTAGTGGAGTATACCCAAAAAAAAAAAAAAAAAAGCTTAAAGACGTGAATCACGTCCTATTTCTTTCAACCCAGTCCATCATTATTCTTATTTTTGCTAATTTTAGAAAAGGTTTAAATGCTTTTAATTTTTTTAATATATCATTTTTTGTCCTTGTAAAATTATTATTTTTTATATTGTTGTTGCTAAATTTGATTTTTTTGTTTTTGTTTTTGTTATTTTATTTTAGTTCTTATAACTTATCTGTTTTTAGTTTTATTTTAGTTCTTATAATATTTGTTTATTTTGAGTTAGTTTCTTTGAAGAAAAAAAAATAGCAGGAAGTAAAAGTAAATTATTCACATGTTATAGGACAATAATAATAATAATAAAGTATATTATAAGAACAAAAAAAATAATAACAAGGACTAAAATAAAAAGAGATTTTTTGCAAAGAACATTTTTAAAAAATTATAAGGATCAAAATAATGTTAAAAAATATTATATCAAATGATAATTAAGATTTAAAGATAAAGAAAATTATTGTTTCTTTACCGTCTTTCAAAATTATGAAAAATACATTGTTAGACGCATTACGAACAAGAAGTTATGCGAAAATATAATTACTAATTACAGATATCTTGACTGAAGTTAATATCCTTTAAAATTAACTATAAATTTCGTATATTTTTAATTTTTAACATGAAACTAAGACTACGTTAATTTAGTTAAATACATAGATTAAAAGCTTTTACAAAAAAAGATTTAAAAAATGTTATATTTGTAAAGCATGAAAGTTCATTTAGATAAATTTTTGTATAAAAAAATAGAAAGTAAAAACAAAATAAATTTATTCATGCGTGAACTAATTTATTGAAACTCTTCCATTAACTTGTCTAGAAACTTATTTTTGACTAATATATAAACTAATAACTTTGAGAAAAATTAAATATAAACTAATTTTAATATACTCTTGAGAAAGTTAATGTTACTCTTGTTGGTACAAGTAGAACCTCAGCAAGAATGAATTGAATGTATAAAAGCACCGAGATTGCGCGTGAATGAACAACTTTAAAGTCCACTCTTGACTCTACCCATGGGTCGTTGCAGATACATCATCGTCCATGAACAACGTTGTTATCACACCCAACTCACAGTAGCAACTAGCAAGCTTATACTATCAATAAATTCATATCCCTTTATAATTTATTTTTAATTATCAAGTAAAGATGGAATTGATTATTTTTAAAATATTAATGGAATAGGGTTGCAAGGAAATATAGTAAAACTCTCTTACTAAAACTAGTACTTGGAGAATAAATCCTTTTTTTGTATTAAATTTTTTATATGATAAGGTTATGTGATAATTTTATATATTAAATCGTAGGACCCTATTAATATGACCATTATCATGAATTCCTCATTGTTTCATCGTGTAAAAATTTAATGAGCATTTACTTGTGTAGTGGACTTTTAGTATACCCTACTTATTATCCAAATATCATATTAAAATTTTGATGAAATGAAAGTTGACACTTGACTGGGTTTGATGACCAATTTTTATATTTCCACTCGTTGACCATTGACTGAAACAGTTATCAAGCATGACCTGATATGTAGGCTACAAGGAAAAGAAAAGCTACACTGCCAACATGCCAATCAGCAAGTCATAATGGTACTTTTCAAAGTATCGCACCATTAGTACAAGTCACAGCGAAAATTTACACAACGGAGCAGGATAATTACAAAATATTAGGTGAGTTACATACAAATTAAAACTAGGCAAATTTAAACTTTATGGAAGGTACCAAAAGGATTAAATTAAATATTAAATATACAATACAATTAACAAAGGAATGTTTTGGCTTTCAGAGGCCACCGGCACCCTATACTAGCCCTAAAGCTAAGTCCTCCCTTGCGCCAGCTGAAAGGCTTATTGTATATCCAAATGTCTTTCTTCCTTTGGGATAATTTGGTCTATCTTATACTATGATTTTACTAGTCATTAGATGGATAGGCCTGAAAGAGTCGGTGTTGGCACTCCCCAAAAGAAAAATTAACAGGATTTCAAATGCATATCCAGTATTAGATTTTTTATAATTATGATTCACTTTTTAAAATAAATTATTGTGTTGAAACTATTTATCTCATTGAGGTTACTTTTGTAAGTACAATTATAAGTTATAATGACATCTATGAATACGATATATGAAGAAAAAATTATTATATATTTTTTCTATAATTATTACACCATAAGTCATGTGAACTATATAAAAGTCCTTATAACTAATAGTGACATTATTAAAATTGTTATTGGTGGTAACAATTTATAAAATTATTATGGTAGAACTCTTCTACTATTCATACAATATTCAATACATAGTAAAAAATAATACATTTTAAATAGGTAACTCATGCTCAACATCAAACTTCACTAAAACAGTCCATAACATACTTCATGAGCAATTCACTCCCAATCTCAACATTCATCCATACTTAATCAACATAGTAACAATTTGATGAAATTCACTCAGCATGTAACTCAAATAAATTAACGAGTTAAAATTTACCCCCTTATCTCAAAACCTCAAGAATCTAGGGAAGGAGAAGGAGAAGATGAAGAAAGAATGGAATCAAGCTCCTTTGGGAAAATTCTGCAAGACTTCATAAGCTCTGATCCACATCTTTATTAACTTAAATCAATAATGACAACTACTCAAATCTTTGAGGGAAGGATCACTCACTCTCAAAAAGGTAAGAAGAAAACTTCAACTTTATAACACTTTTCATTAGTTTATCTCTCTAGGATTCTTAAAAACTATCTTATGAAACTTAATTCTTAAAAAGTTATCTTATATATTTTTTTCTCAAGGTCAAACTGAACCCCCACTCAAAGAAATCTCCTAAACCACTTAAAACTCAAGAAATTTTAAATTCTCAATTTTTTTTAACAATTAACTCCAAAATTACCGGAAGCCAATAAAATGGATATAATTAACAAAAATGTACAGTGTTACAAGTGACTTTTTCTAAAAAAAATTACATTTTCTTCATTTAGTTAAGTTTATTTTTCTAAATATACAATATTAAAAAAAATGAAAGTATTTATTTAAACAAAATTGGTATATTTATTAAGCAAATCTTGCATTTTTTTTCAAATTTTTAAATAAATTATTTATATATTTTTTAAAAATAAATAGAAAACAAAACCATAAAATAAATAAAAAGAAAGAATAAAAAACAAAAAGGAGAGGGGGTCGCCAGGCCACCAACGTCCCCAAAAAAAATAATAATTAAAAGAAAGTTAAAAATTGAAAATAAAAGTGATTTATTTTTTTAAATGTATAGTATTTTAAAAAAATAAAAAGTGGTTTATTTGAAAAATTTTTTATATTTTTTTATTTAGTTAAGTATATTTTTCTAAATATTTAATATTTAAAAAATGAAAATGATTTATTTTAAAAAAAATTGAGTATATTTATTAAAAAAATCTTACACCTTTTTTTAAAATATATATATATATTATCTTTATTTAATAATTTTTTAAAATAAATGAAAAAACAAACTCAAAACTAAATGAAAAAGGAAACAAAAAAGTAAAGGGGAGTCACTATGACCACCAGCGAAAATTGAAAAGAAAAGAAGAAAGTAATTTATTTTTATGTGTAATATTTTTTAAAAAATAAAAGTGATTTACGTTAAAAATTTGTTATATGTTTCTATTTAATTAAATTTTATTTTCTAAATATGTAATATTTAAAAGAAATTGAAAGTAATTTATTTTAAAAATAGAAATAATGTATTTATTAAACAAATCTTACATGTTTTTTTTCTTCATTTCTTTTAAAATATATTATCTTTATTTATCAACTTTTAAAAATCAATAAATAAACAATAAAAAAAACACTGCAATCTATGACAACCTAAAAAAAAGAAGTCGGAACGCTATTATCTACAACGACTAAAAAAAAAGTCTTTTTTTTAATCGACCAAAAATTGCTGTAACCAATGACACCTTTTTGTCTTTATTAGCTCTCGTGATTTCAACATGATGTGTTGCATGGCCTAAAATTTTTCTTAAAAAATATGTATCTCTGGTATGCTATAGGTCATGACGACACCTAGCTAAACAATCCCAAAGATTTAATATTTTTCAAAAGAATCCCATTTTAGTAATTAATTCGTAAAACTGTCCACAATAGTAAAAAAAATCCTATATCATGTAATCAACTCATTCGTAAAACACACATTTATAAATACATAAATAAACAAGAAAAAAAAAAAGTTCAATTTGCAGCATAAAATTCAGGGCAACAGTGCTAACAACCTAATACAGGAAAAACAAAATCCAACCTTAAAAGTGCTCATGTTTATACATACATGTAAATCATCCAACGACTGCGGCATTTTCTGAGCAAAAGAAGGGTAACTGTTGTGTCCAACATGGATGTATTGACAAATCACTAAATCCCAAATAAATTGCTGATGAATCAGAAGTGGGCTGTAAACTCGTCCAAAGTGGGTTGCTAACTCTTCTGAACTCCCTAGGAATCAGTCATCAGCCATGCTCTACAGATATCAATAAGCAGTTCAACTAGTGTAGGGTAGGCATGGGTAGAGGCCATTCGTAATGAAATATATTACACGGGCCATTCAATATTCTTGACTGGCTTGTTTATTTTATTTTGGGTATGAATTGAAAACAAGCATTAGTATAATCTATTGCAATGAAATAGAACATTTGTATAATGTTCTGTGGGAAAATTAGAGCTCGGTTAAATTAGGTCTCTCTCAATGGGCGGGGAAGTGGAGGATCAACACGGCAATGTCAGCATCAAACTACATCACGCAGAGAAATCCTTGAAGGTCTGTGTGCAACACCATGCTTGACAACTGTGAACGCTACAAACTTCCATCAAGTGATCTTCCTGGTGTCAACCATCAATTTATAGAGAGCGAATCCACCTCGATGACAGCCAGGCATCCTAGAAGTCATGTTTTCTACTTCAATCTGGAAGATACAAAATCAATGAGTTATGGTTTCAAGGCTACAGGTTGATGGTTGTAAATATAGGCATTAAAATGACCAATTTAAAAATTTAAGAATAAACTAGATTCTAAGCTTAGAGATATCAAGTTTATTTCGCAACAGATGCCATGAAACGTAGAGAAAGAAATATAACTAAGCATTCTGAAAAAATACACAATGAGTTAAAAATTTAGTAACAATAAACTAGCTTTTAGCTTTGAACTATCAAGTTTATCAGTCCCAACAGATCCCATGATAATTTAGAGAAAGAAATAGCACTGAGCATTCAGCACCAAGCAAGTAGCTATGTCATTATCATCAATTCATCAAAGCTACAGCTGAAACCCACCAAGGTGGCATCCTTTCATGTCTGAACCCATAATCATTTTGATCGGCTTTTTGTCACACAAAGAAAAAGAAACAACTTATGCTCATGCCTTTATTAATGCCACTACCAAAATAATGCAAATGTTCTTGAATGGAACAGCCAAAAAATAATAAAGAAAAATAGTCCACACGATTGTTATTAAGAATGGAGTTCATGCCAACACAATAAAAACAAGCTTTAGATTCACCATTGGAACAGCATACAGCTGAGTTGATTCATAGCCATCTTGTGCGCTAGAATAGAACTGCTGAACTTCCTTTGAGTCAAGACTGCATTTGATAAAGAAAAATGCAGTGGGTCTCACATTCAAATTCCTGCGAGATATACCAATGAAAGCCGGGATGCTCTACATTACAAGAAACCAAAATTAGATTGAATCTATGAACCCATCCAACCTCATTTTAAAAGGGAAAAGAGATGGAAAGTTAGCAAATCAAACTGAAATTTTATCAGCATTCAGCCATCAATCCACTCAGAAAACAGAAGGTGTATAACAAAGCACAATGTCTACTGAAGCTAGCATACTAGGTGGCTCCGAAGTTCACTCACTAACAAGGGTAAAAATTAAAAACTAAAAACCATGTATAACGTGTTCACTCATAGTCATATTAAAGTAGAAACAAAACTTACAAGGGATGAAGCTGGCACTCCAATTTCTTCAACTACTTCTCGAACTATGCTGTCAAACATCTCCTGTGAAACCTTAACATTAACAGATTCTGTTAACTCCTTGACATGTTGATGGGATGTTATACCCAGTTCTTGAGGCTGTTGATCATTAATAAAAAAAGAAAAAAAAGAAAAATCAATGTATAGCCAAGTATACATAGAAGATTCAAGTCTGAAAATATATGAACTGGGAAAATTATGTGCTTCTATTCAGTAATCATTATATAGAAGACAATATAGTAAAGTAAAAAAGGAGTAGAAGACAAAACTGTAGAGCAAAAATGAGCAGATATCATGACAAGAAATGGATCACACACCCAAAAAGCAAATCAAAGACTTATGTTAGAACTAATTGTCCATTTACCTATTGTAGAAAATAAATCATCAACTCCAATGCTAGATTGCAACAACAGAAAGGATTTAACACATTCATTTCAGCATTGAATACCTCAGGATGGCCTCCAGGGAAAACAAAATGTCCAGGAAATTCACCAACATTATTACTTCGTTGTAATACAAGTATCTTATTGTCATTTGTCTCCACCACTGCACCATTTCCTAGTGGGCTGGACGTGTGCTGACAAAGAACAGAATCATCTGGGGAGAAAGAAGGATGAGGCCAAAAGATTAAGACAAATCAATTAATATCAATTCAAAAAGAAAGGAAAGGATGGAAGAGGGGGAGAAAGAAGGAACGATAAAAACTTTGAAATTCGGTGCTTGTGATTCCATCCATTATTGTTCAATAACATTTAATTGAAGAGATCAAATCAATCAAACAAACAATACTTCTAACCCTTAGATGGAGTTAATATGTTTGAACAATTAGATAAAAGCTGTGCCTACTTTGTCCTTGTAGAATGCAGAACTTAAAGTGGTAGATAAAATAAAAATATATAAAGCATATGACTCTGACATAGGTGCACTCCCTTCTTACTACAGTATTACTAATTATAAATGAGCTTCTCTATCATCCAACAGTGAAATAGTAAGTTATCTTCGTAATGAACACAACCAACCATGAAGCAACTGATATGTAATACTGCTCCTTCTTTCTTATTCTCCTATTTAGTGACTCTATGAGCCAACATGAGAACTGAGGCAGAAAAAAAAGTACATCCTTTTCCTTTTTGAATATTTTCTGATTAAAAAGTGGAACACAATCAAATTCAAACAAGGCACAAAGGAGGTAGGCAGGACCTAAAACAGTTATGACTTGGATGAAGGTAGTGTAAGTTTGGAATCTTGGATGACAATTAGGGGAGCTCAAAAATACATTTACCCATCACAACAAATTCTTCCTCTTCATTTTGTGCCTTGGAATTTGGAAATGTTCATTGGAATTCCCAAAAACACATTCCCAGCTTTCAATCAAACACAGCCTTAGATATCTGATACTGGGTTACCATAGTACCAATTATGCAATTACACATCTATACAGCAATGAGATGCTCAAGGAGTCAAGGGTTTAGGGAAAGTCCACAATATCCAATCAGGGAAACAGAAGAGAGATGTCCTATTGTTGCCTTTAAATTTTCATTAACTCAACCTCGATCCCCTCGATCCCTGCCTGATAATTTTATTGGACATACAGGAGTCAAATTACCCTAAGTTCAGGTGCTAACAGTTTAAGGTCAATGATAACCACAATACAAGTAATTGAGCTAAGAACAAGGTTTAGTAATTTACCTTCTGATGGAACCAGGAACCTTTCCCACAAAGGACTTAAATTTGTCCCAACAAAAGTCCTGGAAGCAAGTTTAACCAATAATTAATAATAGAGCGAATTAGAATTGATAAGCAAAAATACAAGAAGAGAATATCAATAAGATTCAACAATGCTTATAGGCAGCATTGCAGAGATATCTTCCATTGGTTTCAGACAAACAGTAAGGATAACTGTACAGCACATATGACATTTGCTGCAAATAACATCTGAAATTTGTGTGTCAACTGATGCACACAGACTGAGAAATTGTTTAATACGTCAATCATGCACATGTTTTTTCAGCCACTGTTTTATAGTAATTTAATTTGGAAATGAAAAGCTTCCCACTAACTCACCAAACACAACTTTTGACTATTTTCTACCTATCAATGATGGATGCATATTTAGAAGTCACAAATACGGACACTGAAAAAAGATGCACATTTACATCATTAAAGCATCCACATGAAAAATGAAATTATAATTTATCATTCAAGACTAAAGAATCATCGTCATCCAAACAATATCACTAGCCACACTAAATAAAAAATGTACAAGTATCCTTTAAAAGAGGGGCGCTGAGATGATACCTATAATCTGTCAAACCTAACTGGAGGCATACATGTGGTTCATGGTCAGATCCATTTCTAGCGTCCAAAACATACCCTCCATACTGTGACATTTGCAACAAAAAAGAGAGACACACTCTGTTAGGGATAGTCCTCGACAATGTAAGTAGAAAACAGGGTTCAAGCTTTACTCTAGCTACAATAACACATCTTAGATACATGACATCTCATAGAAACAGAAAGGTCTAAAGACATTGAAAGAGATTAATAAACAAGCAATGATCCATACAGTCATATGATCAGGTGACATAGCATTACGAATTATTAAATTAAACATCTATTATTCATCTACTCCAAACCATGACAGTAATAAGAAAACAAATATAAAAAAATGTGGCCATCAATAAGCTAAAAACATATTAATAAGAAGAAAAAAAAACTTAAATACGATTGTTTATTTAAATAAACTTCTCCATAAATATTTTTAAGAAAAAAAAATGAAATAAGCTTATTCGTAAACTAAAATTAGGCATAAGTTAATTTGTAAAGGTGATGTCATTTTAGCTTCTTAGAAAACTTATTATAACTTATTGAGAAACTTATTTGATTCTTCTTTCCTAATTTTTTCTACTATAAGTAACTATGGAAAAATTTCTTCAAATATGTAATATTTGTTAGTTTATATCTTCAGTAGCTTAGGAACCAGATAGATTTAATTTAATATCATTACATTTTTAATACCAATCGCCAATGCCAAGTGATATAACTTGAATTTTGGTGTAATTTCAGAGAAGGTAAGAACATCTCATTAACAAGGTTCGCGTACCCTGAACTTCTTCCCATTGAACAGCGATTTGTTTTTCAAACTCCTCTGCTCCCATATCTGCGCAACGGAAACGGAAAATAAGCATAAGAGGAAACGAAAGCACAAACGCAACGAGAAATCCAAGTACCTAACGCACGCAATGCATCACAGCGAAAACGAATGTTAATGAATGCAATCCACCTCGGAAATCGCGTTCTCCAAGCTGGCGTCGGAGTGGGGAATGCGGTCGTAGGAATCGCTGAATGCCACAGAAACCTTCAAAATCGATGAAAAATTGTTCGTTAGCGAAGCGCGTTTGAGGCGAATAGATAGGGCTCGAAGTGTGGCGAACCTGTGCTGGTGAAAGGCCAGAAGGACACGACACTAGAAGCTTGAAGGAAGAAGGTTCGGTGCTGCTTGCTTCTTTCTCCATCGCAATGAGTTCCGAATCCGAGAGATTTCTCGGCTTTGTCGAAAGCTATTGGGCCCGCTGAAGGAATTAGTGGGTTCTAGTTTGGGCAAGTATTGGGCTTGCAAGCAAAGAAGCCCACTTCATGTTTCCACTTTGGCTCATCACATATACACCTTTTTTTTTTTTTTTTTTTTTATAAGTACACCTCCTTTATTTTTTTTTAAAAATTATAAAACATTTGTAATTTTTATTTATTTATTTTATATCTCCAACTTTTAATTTGTTATTTTTTTTTTCATATATATATTTTTTTTCAATTTTCACATGCACCATTTTATCTTTCTTTTAATTGATTATATATTTAATCATTTGTTTAATAACAAGAATTAAAAAATAATATGTAGGAAAATAATTTTAAAATTAAAAAAGTAAAAAATATTTTGAATAAATTAATAATGATAAAAAAGATAAAAAGTATATTAAAAATTTGTTATAAATTACTTTAATTAACATATAGGCATAAATTATAAGCTCTTAAAATAAATTTAATGTATCAAACAAGTTTATTTTATATTGAACTAGCTTATATGTTGATTAAAAAAAAATTATAAATTTTTGAAATTTTTTTCAAATACACTTTTATATTATTAAAAAAATTCCGAGAAAAGCGAGACAAGAAACTGGGATAAAAATGATAATCATAATTATAATGTCATTTTCATCCATCTTTTCATGGCTCGGACTGTGTTTGATCACGTTCCCTTTCATTTTCTTGAGTTATGAAGATGTGCATCGATGTTAATGAGTTTTCGTTATGGATATATCTTGTCATGTGCCTTATTGCTTATTGCTTAATGCTTAATGGATGTACGTTGTCTTACAAGTTACAACTAGCAAGGACTTTTGCATGCAAATATATTTAAATAATTTTCTTGCCATTCTTATCCCTTTCAAGCAATAACGTCTAAATTATGTGAGTGTTTAATACGCTCAAAATAAAAAAAAAAATATATAAACCTTCAAAATTATCTGAAGAATTTTATATTAAAATATAAAATACAAGTCTTTGAAATTTTCAATTTAAAAATAATAAAATTAATTTAATTGATAAAATATTATTATCAGAATATCTTTTATTGATAAAAATGAAATAAAAAATAATTCAAAAACACTCATAATTTCCTAAAGATACTAGTTAAAAAATTGAATATATATATATATATATATATATATAATTATACTAATTATAAATATCATTCTATTGAATCAATTAAAAAGTCTACAAAAATAATTCTCATAAAACGAAAACGTACGTTTGAAAAATCACTGAAAAATAATTTTTAGAGATCGATTTTTTTTTAATTCCTTTATTAATTTTATATTTTATTTTCGTATTAATTTTCTAAGAACATTTGTTACCATTATTTTAAAATAATAAAGGAAATTAAAGTATTTTTAAATTAAATAACTTAGTTAAAAGATATCATTTTAAATATATTAAGGTGTGTGATTATATATATATTGAGAGAATCATGAGGAATAATAAGCTTCATATGCTTTTATTTTTTTTATTTTGTGTTATCGTATATTTATTTTTAAAATCAAATGTCGAACAAGTATTTTTAACTTGTTTTATATATATATATATATTATATTATTGTTGTAATTTTAATGGTGTTTTTGATCCATTATATGAGTTACATCATTCCAGAGTCCAAATTCTAATTCTGTCTGATATAGAAGATTTAAATACCCTATATTCTTGAGTTGTTATACATGCGCGTTCAATGTTGGACTTACATTGGATAATAAGGGACACATGTTCCTACTCAATTTTAATTTTTTTAATATGTTATATTTATAGTAATGTTGTCATTTAAACTTAATTGTTTTTTTTTCATTAACCACTTTTTTATGTGAAATTAGTGATATTATCTTGTTCCAATTACCTAAAATTTGTAAAATTATAAATAGCTGTTTTTTTTTATCTTTTTTTTATTTTTATTTTCATCTCTATTTTATTTTCACCTCATTCTCCTATTTTTTTAGCCTATCGCGAAGTCCGTTCATATATTTTATTTAGAGAGTAAGTAAGTTCATATGTTAATTATGTCTCATATGTGAAAAAACATAATTTCTTACTAGGCTATGAGTTGATAAAAGACAATTATCTATATAAATAAGGAATATATATTTTATAATTAATATTTTAATATGTACAATACACATAATAATTATTTATTTATATAATTAAAACTTATTATAATAATTTTTTATTATATATATTCATTATAAAAATTTGTGATAAATAAGTTGCTTTAAACATATAAATTATATTTTTTTATTTTTGATAAACAATTTATGCTGTAATATAAAATTATTTTTTAACTATTGATAATTTTTTTAAAAAGAATGTTGAAATGATTGTGAAAATAATTTATTTAAAGAGATAATTAGTTAACAAACTATTAAATTAAATTCAAAATGAAATATTCAAAGAGTTAAAAATTTAAAATATTTAAGTAAATATAAATTTTGATAACTATTTATAGTAAATATAAATGAAGTAGAAGAATAATACTTAAATTTTAAAGATAATATATATATATATATTATTTTGATATATTCCGTTATTACATTTTAAAAATAGAGTGTTTGTTTTATATGAAAAATATAAAAGACACTTAAAGTGTAATTTTAATGGGAGAAGTGAAAATAAATATAAGAAAATATTACTTGCAAGAAGTAACAAAATATTCTATATATACATACATATA